TGATTCATTTCATTAAGAGATAACATTTCATTTCAAATGAATGTCACTTAAAGAGAAAAAGAGTGCTTGAATTAGCTCAGATCGTTTTATTGCCATAGCAGTATTCCATGCAGGTCTGTGAAGAAGAGCTGGATCACACACAAAACAATACTATGAGTGCTGAATTGAGGAGACTGAAAAGGGTGATTTTTAAAAATAGTTTGGTCTCCAGTCTGGCTTGGCTTTGATTTCTAGACACTTAGAAAATGGAACTTTTGAGGCTCAGGTCAATGGGAAAATGTCTTTTGTTACTTCTCAGTAAGTGTGACTTTACGGAAATGTTAAAATGAACTTCATTGTTTGCATAGATTCCCCTTTTGGCAAGAAATGAGAATCTGTATAATTAATTACTCCAGAAATATTATTTTTATGTAAATGAGCTCCTTTCATACAGGATCAAACAAATCCAAAATATCCCAGGCATTCTACAGTAATTTGTGGATGAATACCCATAAAATACTCAAAGGTAATATGTGTTACAATAATAATATAACTTTTGAGTCTTGACCTTGTTTTCATTAATATAACCTAGTGATTGTACAATGTAGAGTAAACTATTCCATTTAGGTGGCAGTGATATTTTTGGTAAACAAAATTGTATGCATTGCCTTGTCAGATGAGTATATTGTCTTCAGTGATGTTTAAATTAAGTTCTAAAAGGTTGTATCAATATAACCTGAGAATAAAAACAATTCATCAGCAGATCTCAACATAAGGGATTTGCTAAACACCTTTCAGGCAGAGCTATAATTAGGACTGTGATCAGGCATGTGGGATGTTTCAGGTTACTCTGTCTAACATCCTGCACTGTCTCCCTCATAGCAGTGCATGGTCACTGACTGAGAGTGGTTAGTTTGACTTCCTCCTTTCACTGATGTGGTTACCTGTACTATACAAAATGAGTCCTAATGGTTTACACTAGGTTCGTCTAGTTTGAAGAAAAGGAGACTCAGAAGCAGCCTCATTGCCCTGTACTGCTTCCTGAGGAGGGGCTGGAGAGAGGGAGATGCTGGTCTCTTCTTCCTGGTATCGGTGATGGGGAATGTGGGAATAGTTCTATGGAAGTTCACACTGGACTTCAGGAGGCATTTTTGTACCAAGAGGTTGATCAAAGAGATCAGTCTTCCTAGAGACATGCTGGATGCCCCAGGCCTGTCAGTGTTTAAGACACATTTGGACAAGGCCCTCAATACTGTGCTTTAACTTCTGTTCATCCCTGAATTGATCAGGCAGTTGGACTAGATGATCAGTGTACCTCCATTACAGCTGAAATGTTCTGTAGTCTATTCCATCTAGACATTTGCCTGCCATCATTAAAGAGCTACCTGCACTACCTTCCCATAGGCATCCTTAGGTGAATGTGTCGTTTGCCCATATCTTTATTTGTATGAAATTAAACAGCTATTTTACTTAGAGCAATTCTGTGCATACATAAAATTATCATTAAGTCTTGTGGTAAGACAAGTTTTGTTTCTTTTACTGGGTTTGAGTCTGATCATACAAGCTGCGCAGTCCTTCTGCAAAATTACTGTTTCATATGTTTCCCCTAATTTTGCTGGAGCTGAGGAAATAGGAACTATGGGCAAATTCCAGCATGTAACAGGGTCATGCCCTGCAAGAGAGAGTCTTTTGTTAAAAGCTAGTGGAGAAAATACAAAAAAATATTTACCTATATTTCACTAAAATATAACCACCTACTATACTGCAGGCTTGCAGATCAGCTCAGTTGATACAAAATCTTGTACAAACACATGCATATATGTATACTGAATAATCTTTATGTGTCAAATGATGTATATTCCAGTTTATATAGGTATATATAAACTGGAAGTATGCAGTGCTGCAATGTTTATGATTGCTTGGACTGATAGTATTCCCCATAATATTTTCTGAAATAAATGGAGAAAAGAAATTATTTGGGCTTTTTTTGAGGCAGCAATGTATGCATATGTATGCATACACCAGTCTTCACCAGTACTATGCTGCCTTTATATTTAAAACTTTTTATTGATCAGCAGATATTTGTCACTGAATAGGCAGTAATCAATGGAGACAATGTTGCAGTGAATGAATAGAGAGTTTGGCTAAGAGTTTGTCTAGTCAGGAAAACTCCTTTCATTTTATCCATATGGAAATGGCATTAGGTTGATGAAGTTCTTCTTTAACCTGTGTGTTGCGCAGGCTTCAGGAATATGTTTACTTCTTTGGCTCCATTAAAAAGTAAGGGTGTTTTTCCAAAACTTCTCACAGTTGCTCATTGTAGTTCCTATAGAAGCCTTGACATGTGAGAGTCCCTGATGTCAAATTAGATGTCCTGGGTCTCTGATTTATGGCTCCTCTAGGCAATAGTAGTGTTGGTGAGTTCTTTCATTAATGTTCATGCATCTAAACTAAAGGCAGCAGTGGATTTAGATCTGCCTTTAGTTTAGATGCAGTTCATGCATCTAAACTAAAGGCAGATCTAAATCCACTTCAGCTGAGTCTGTCTCATTGGTTTGTCTTTTTGGACACTTCTGCAGCACTATCAGATCCTTAGATTCTGTTTGTGGTAGATTTAATTCCTCCCTGCAGCCTCAAGATAGAAGTTACCAAGTGTGGCGTGGTGTGCTCTGTGTGGTTTTGGCCTGTAAAATGTTGAAATTTGTTGACTTATAACTTTCTCAGCGTGGTTAACATATTCATGTGGTTAATCCCTTCAGCAAAGGGCAAATCAAGATAACAGTAAATATTCTTGCAGCATAGAAGCTTTAGACCTCAGTCAGCTGAACATGTTTCTAGCACTGAGACCCAAATCTCATAATGAGACTTGGAAAGTGGATCTGTGTAAGCCCTGAAAGGAATGGTTGATTTTTCAGACCTGTTGAAGCTTTTTTGTTAATAATGACTAAGTAATAGTAATGGAAGGAGTAAATCCCATTGTCTGTGGCAGTCCAGGCAGGTGGGGAGTCAGAGACTAAACAGTACATAAGATGCCAGTCTCTTTGTTTTTTTATGTGTTGGTAGGCATGGGCTACCTGAAAAAAGAGAAGTTTTGAAGATCAACAAGCTGCTGTTGTGAGGGTCTGGAAAAGAAAGCATATATTAGCAGCAAAAGTCAGGAGAGCAGGGTTCATTATTCAGTTCATTATTAGAAATCAGTCTTTTTCATGGAGGTGAGAGGTAGTTAGAGAGTCTTGTTGATCCCAGCTTAAAGCAGCCATTAGACTTAGTGCCTACCAAAGTCTTTTGCTTTGACTTTCTTTGGCCTTTGCTCAGACATGCTTTGTGTACCCTACAGGCCTCCAGTCTCTGTTACATCCAACAGCCTGAGACCAATTAGCTGTCACCTCTTGCATAGGGCACCTGGATCCAGTCAGATCTGAAGGGAGCAGTTAGCTCTTGTCATGTTGTGGGGAATTTCAAATGGTATTGGAAGAGGGGACAATCAGCAAGAGAGAAACACTGTCAAATTTCTCCATTCTCATAGAACCAGAAAGCAACTAATGATTGTTCCTAGAAGATTTAATAGAGAAACGAGTTTCTCTATTAACACAGTTCTACCCAACAGTCTGTGTTCTTAGACTGCATAATTTAGCCTCTAGAAGAATACTTTTGATTCTGAAGTTAGTTCTTGGGAAGGAGAAAATTTCATTTCTTCCTTATGAAGAAAACCATGAAAACCATCCAGTCTCTATAAGGACTGTTGTAAGAATCCTCTCTGGACAAATTCAGACATGGCTTTCTCCATGTTTTTCTGACCAAGAAGTAGAGGCCAGAATGCTATGGTATGTCTACCTAAGGATTTGAAGTTCCGCTGTGAATGCACAGCACAGAAATTAGCCTGCTAAAGAAAAATATTAATACTGTCTCTGACCAGTGACAAATATGTGAGCTGAAAGTAACTTCTTTGATATATTTTTATGTTTGTGTGCATACACAGATATTCAAGCATCGCAAATAAAAGGTGCAAATTGGCTGCTAGGAGAAGACGACTGTCTTACTTGGAGAGATGTGAATTAATTTTTGTAGATATATCCCTTGAAACAATTCAGCATAAATATATAAGCTGCTAGATGTATGTGAATATAGCATGGGCTTTTTCTGTGGTTAGTTAATATTATTGACATTTATTGAAACTAACTCCCTTTTAGAATAGCTAATACAGAAATAGCTGCAGAGTCCCCTCTGATCTAAGGCTGATGTCACTTTTGGTGTTGCCTTCCTTTGGATGTGTCATGAATCTTTGAAGAGGTGTCAGACACACAAAAATAACTTCCAGATTTTTAACCCCTAAATTTCTTTTCCTGTTTCTAGCTCATTTTTGTGTTTGTTTTAATTAGAGCTCTTGCTCAGTATCACGCTGTTGCTCAGTATCCAGTATCCTATTTCTCACAGGGAGTGCGTAGTGTAAAATAAAATTCCAGAGTGCCTCTCTGAGACAATCTCGACACTTTACTTAAAATGAAGTTTAATTCAGGGGGGAGTTTTTTCTCTCTGAGTGGTGAAGATGATTTAGATATTGGTCTAAAAGCAAAACTTTTGAATGTATTTTTAATGTTTTTGTTTTCTGGAAGAGAAAGATAGAAATAAAACCAAACTCATCCTTTTAGAAATGCACTTAATTCTTCATTGTAATATGCTGTTAGATTTTGTGTAGGAGTTTTTAAAAATTCAAGAGAAGAGTCAATCTGGGAAAGAAAAATTGGAAAAATAATAGTATTTAAAAGGTAATACCCGATGAAGTCCTTCTAGCAGGGTATTTAAGCAATTGTTTGGGTAGATTTGTAATGCTGGCTAAATTGAATGTATTCCTTAGTGAACAGTATTTCAAGATGATCTGCACAATTTCTACTGCCAAAATGAACTCTTTAATACGAAATATGCCTTGGAGTGTGGTAATGAGAACAATCCGAAGTTTTTGCACATATCTTGATAATCTCCACAGAACTGTAACATTCTCCGTATGTTTTCCTGGTTGGCAGGTGGAGTGGATACAACAGCAGGTGGTTAAAAGAAGGATAAAGAGGGATTATAAACCTGGTGGTACCCAATCCACTTATTTCAATGATCCCAAGTGGCCAAGCATGTGGTACATGGTAAGTACATGTAGGGTCATTGACTGTTTCATGCTAATGTTTAGTTGTCTGGTTTGATATTATGAAAAGAGGAGGAAGAGTATGTTCAGAAAAAGCAGATTTGGGGATTATTATGTAGCTAATAAAAGTCTGTTAACTCCTTAGGAGTATTAAAAAGAATTTGTGGTGAGCCGTGCAGTAGGAAGCATTTACTGATGCATTTATTCATTAATTATTCCTATGGAAAGATATCTTACTTACTTGAGGATAAATAAGCAATGAGAATGGAAGAACAAGTGTGAGAACCCACTTGTATTTAATACATAATTCACTGTACTCAACATAAATGTATTTTACCCTGAAACAGAAGAAATCCACCAGCACTGACCATTCATTTCCTGTCTGACAGAAGTTGTATTTTTCAAAAAAAAAAGTTTGGGGTTTTTTTTTTCCCTAATAAAATCACAGTTAAAGTCTGGAGAGAAACTTTGTACTTATGATGTTTTGATAAACATCTTCATTTTTGCCAGGTGAAAACCTTAGCATTACAGAATGGTTTGGGATGAAAGAGACCTTTAAAGGCCTTCTAGTCCAACCCACCTTTCAATGAGCAGGAGCATCTTAAGCTAGATCAAGTTGCTCAGAGCCACATTCGACCTGATCTTGAATGTTTCCAATGATAGGGCACCTACCAGATCTCTGGGTTACCCAGTCCAGCATTTTACAACTCTTCTTGTAAACAATTTCTTCCTTATATCTAACCTGAATCAACCCTCTTTTGGTTTAAAGCCATTGCCCCTTGTCCTATAGCAACAGGTGCTGCTAAAAAGTTTGTCCTCATTTTTCTTAGTGATTCCCCTACAAATATTGAAAGGCTGCAGTAAGGTCTCCCTGGAACCTTCCCAGGAAAAACAAGCTTAATTCTCTCAGTCTTTCTTCATAGGACAGGTGCTCTGATAATAGATAATTACAGCAGTTGCCTCTAATTTTATCATGAAGATAGCAGTCCCTATTTAAAAAATAGTTGTGTTGTCTAGCCACACTACCCACAGCTGTGCTAGAATTGCCAGTGTAACACTGAACAGACTTTAGAGCATCAAATGGACTTCACTGTTTTTTTGTATAACTTTCATAATTCCTCATTTCTGTCCCAGTGGAAAAAAAATCCTTACTTTCAAACCTTCTGGGAAGAGACCATTCCTGACTGATTGCATTTACATCCACTGATAACTCTGTGTATTTGCAATATCACTAGTGATAGTGGTTTGATGACATTTTGTTGGAAGAGATGAGTAAAGTATTAGTGAACATGCTATCTCATCAGGGTGAATAGCTAAAAATATGTGAGTGGATTGACTTTAGGACTGACTTGAGACATAAAAGATATCCTCATATGACTGTGTTTATGATTGTTACCATAGCTGCTTTTGTTAATCTTTCTTAGCTTTATAAGATGAAGGGGAAAAAATGAGTTCAAGGTTGGTTAATGGTTTCAGTCTTTGCTATGCTGGAAGAGGTTTTTAGGTTACTGGCTGCAGACATGTTGTTGAGAAAGTAGTAAGAGTAACAAGAAATTACTCTTGAGTAATTTCTTGAGAAAGTAATAAGTAAACTATCATATAGAGGGTTGTATTTTGATTAATAAGTAACTTTGTTGTGGGCTAAGACTGATACCTTTGCCCATTGAACTGGCACAATTTCTAACAAGGCCATAAGTGCAGTTCACATTTGTTGACAGAAGTCCTGTTATTCAAAGACTTTGTCAAGCCATACCTGATTAATGTTTTTCCTCTCCAAGGTTTTTCTTCACAAGTACCACTTCTTGTAATTTTCATTTTCTAGGCTAGAAATAATAAATATATTTATTTTTGTGTGTTATCCATGGCAAGAAGTTACAAGAGAATCAGGCATTCTTTGTCTTTTGAGCCATCACAGCACTTAAGAGAAAGAAAAGATTATTTTCTTCTGACTTCCCTCCCTCAAAGCAAGGAAAGTTGAACAAAACCCAATCATCTTTAGCATAACTTCTGAATCTTCAGGCATCTGTGCTTAAGAGTAAAATAGAATATTTTTATAGACTAATTAGCATATGAAACTTAACTAATCCAACTGTTACTCAAAGTGCCCTACAGAATCAGGTCCAGTTTGCTCAGAACTATCAAAGGAAAAAAAAAATCACTAGTTAGCATCCTCTTCAAAATTTTTGCCTTTCCCAGAGCTCAGCTACCTTTGTACCATCATGTTAAATCTAATAAATTTCTTCTCTTCCACTGGTGTTGACAAAATAACCTTTTAGCCAATAGCTGGATGAACCTATATACAGTCAGTTTGGCGATTTTGGCTGAAAGAGGTTGGAGTCAGTTGTTCCGTATTTTTTTCAACTTGGAGCTAACAATAAGCAGAATGACTGAGATGACTTTGTGCCTAATCAATTTCACTGTACCTGCCAGTTGTTTAGATGAATTTCTTTATCTAATCTGCAGAGGAAACTATAGAATGTAAATATATTAATATATGTTTAAAAAAGAGAGGAAGTAAATATATTTAAAAAATAGAAATACATGCAAAGTTGTGGTTAATATAAATAACTTTGGTAGATTTCAATCAGAGTACTGTTGTTGACCATTTCTTTTTTTTTCCAAACTTCAAGAAGAGCTCCATATTGTTAGGCTGAAACTGGAATCACACAGACATAGAGGCACAGATTTCTACAGTTGTAGTTTACCTCTGCTGTGATGATGGGCTCCACTGGATGGGGTTTTTAAAAATAAGAAAAACATTTTGGATAAGCATAATGAAAACACTATTTTTTTTTTAACTTCTGAAAACATACTCAAATAGAAGTTGATAAACCTAAGAAAACATACAGTGCTTGGCTGTGCTGTTTCTCTAACAGGTTATGAGACTTAGTACTGTGGGGTTTTCACAGAACTGGAGTGAAAGGAGAAGCAGATCAACAAGTGCAGGGTGTTTTAGAGTGTTCAGGGTGGAAGAGGATTATAGCAGCAAGGCACAGTAAAACCATGCGTCTGAGCCATAGTGGAAATGAACATTTACCAGTTACTTGGTGAATAATAATAAAGTAAGTTATTGAACCAAACAGCTATTGTTGTGCAATGACAGAAGTAGAGTGATATACACTCTACATCTATAATTGTGCAACAATAGGGTTTTTAGAAAGTTGTTGAAGGTAAAAGATTTGCTGAGAAGCCTCATCAGTCAGTATTTATTCGTCATCAATCTTCACATTTATTGGTATATTTGCACTGTAGCATTTCTGATGTAAACAGGTGAAATGTACTTTATACCACTGTTGAGAGCAAGCCACACTAGCTGGTGTGTACTGAATTACTTGCATGTGTGTAGGGCTTGTTGCTTGAGCTCTAATGCTGAAACCAAAACCTAGTGCTTACTTTTCACTTTCAGTGGGGATTGTGAAGCATGCATTGCTTTGAGCTTCAGTGAAGTGTCTGGTGAAGCCAGTTACCTCATTTCTTCAGAAAATTCCTCCAGTATGCTACATAGTGCTCTCCAGTTATAGTTGTGAGTTCCCAGGTGAGCTGTTCATTCACAGGGAGGGACAGACCCTTCTGCTCTGATACAGTATAGTTGACTCTGGATGGCAGCCAGAACAGGACTAATAAACCTTTATCGGTAGTGAGAAATTTGAGTTTGCGAAGGTCCTGTAGCCATGGAATAAGGTGGAGGTGACGAGTTAGACTGGTGGGTTGCTTCCCTTATGCTGCTCATGACATTTGTAGGGAGTTGGCTTACCTTGTGCCTCTCCTCCCAACTCAAGCAAGTGGCAGAGCAGAGAAAAAGATTTTACTTCCCTGGCCTTGTCCTTAATGAGGACACCTATGGTGGATGGGACTGTGAAAGGAGTGAGAGGGACGAAGGAAGGAGTGACAGAAGCCTGATCAGATGAACTGGAAAGAAGCAAAGGGAGAAGGAAAGGTCACAGTAGATCTGAGTGCTGGCCCAGGTACAGGGAGACAGAACTCAAGGAAGAATTTCCTTAAGTTTTCCTTGAATTTTACCTGCCATATGCTAACACTGCAGCAAATGAATACATGTCACTCTCCTTTACGACCTCCTAAAAGTTTGTTTGAGAACTAAGGAAAAGCCTCACTCTTTTTATTACCCTCCCAAGTACTGTTCTCTCCTTTCATCTGTGCAGTGGAAGCCAAATGGTTGTTCTTTCTGAGTTGGCACGGTATGCTTGAAAGTGTTTTGAGTATTTTGTAACTTGGTTTGGTTGTTACATGCACTTTCATATTTTTGGGTTTTATTGCATGAGAAGATCAAGCTTTTGGTGTTCTGTAAAATTCAGAAGATGATCTGTGGCTTAACTTCAGCAGAAGTGCTGCTCAAAAGAACTCTCTGCCTGCCACACATTACTTTGCAAATCTGCCTGTGGAAACACATATTTTGTTGTTTTGTGTGGACAAGGCAGAACAATAACATGAAGTCAAGTTAATTCACAATTTGACCTGAATTAATTTCCTTTTGGAAACACTTCAGGTAATCAAAAAGCCTGTAGAAGTGGATTTATCCATGCCTGCTGAAAAGAGATTATGAATGCAGGTAGTTTAGCAAGATTAGCAAATAGTTTGAAGGCAGAACAGACTAGATAGGTTTCTTGGTTTGTTCCTTTGGGATATAGTTCTCCTAGATAAGCACACCTGGAAATGCCCAAAAACAAAAAATGGAAGCCAGCACCTTCTGGGGGTTGTGCCAGCATTTTCGCTGAAGCAAGAAGAAGCAATACCAAAATTCTTTCCACACTTGCTTTGGGAGAGCTTTTCCTGTGTGTCAAAGATTTGGTAATAAATCATATAGCAAAAGCACACATTCTTCTGCCTACTTACTACTATGATTGTATCTTCAGAGGCAGAGCATCCACTCTTATCTTTATGGAATTTATTTAACTTTTTTTTTTTTTTTTATTAGCAGCAACTGAGTTACATTAAGAAACTGTCGGTACTTGTTTGTATAATGTTCTTCGTGAAATATCACTT